TTAGTCTGCACCAATGTTAACACAGCTTTTGCGCTGCCCCTTGTTGCGAAACTTCGCTGTTCTTGAAATTTACTTTGTCAACCGTGCATCTGTCGTATCACACACTCATGTTGATAAACCTTTGTTATCGCAGGCCACACCATTTTTGCCTTGTTTAAATTTGGAACACTTGGGAGAGAAAAGTTATCCGGAAAATATATGGACCAACAAGGGATGATATGGATGGAGAATACAAACCAACCAGGAATGGTATAGTCTATATCAGGATCCCTCTCTAGTAGATAAAATAAAAAAGGGCAGGCTATGCTGGGCAGGATACTTAGCAGTGGAGTGACTAGGGTACATCACCAAAACCCCGGAGGAAAACGGCTCAAAGGCAGACCTAGGCTTAGATGGATGGATGATGTGGAAAAAGATCACAGCAGCTGGGAATCCAAGCATGGAAAAGAAAAGAAATAGCTAGGTCTGAGAGGAAGGAAGTGGTGAAGCAGGCCAAAGCCCCACATGGGCTGTAGCGCCACAGGGATGGATGGTCCATTTGGAATCATTTGTTGTAGTTCTCAGGCAAATGACGTGTCAAGTAAGTTCTGCTCACAGGTTTCTTATTTCCTTCTGGTTTCAGCTCACGGGCGTATCGGCCAAGCCTCCTGGTGTCTACGATGTGTGGGAGTGCACAGGCAAACGACCACAGGCCGCCTACACCTGGGACCTCGCCATGAATGACAACAAACTGCTCCATAGCAGGGCACAGCCCCGCTGTCGCTTCGACCGTCTGTACATCAGGCACGGCAGGGAGTACAGATTGAAGCCAGCATATTTTGAACTTGTTGGAATACAGCGTTTGTCTTCATGCCAGAGGTTTCCTAGTGACCACTGGGGCATTCTGGGACATTTCGATGTGATTTCCTAAGGACCATGGGAGCACGCTTGGACATTTTGATGTTCTTTCTTAAGGACGAGTGGGCTTTCTGATACATTTGGATGTGATTTCCTAGTGACCATGAGAACATAGGGGCAAATTTTTTATAGCTTTTTTTGTGTACATAACCTTTGAGACATTCTGTAACAGACATTCTGTAACAGACATTCTGTAACAGACATTCTGTAACAGACATTCTGTGACAGTTTATGTAATCTACTGTGAGGCATTCTGTTGATCTGTATTTAGTTTTCTCTTGAAGATGGCATTTAAAAAAGAGAGATTCTATTTCTTATAATAATGACTTAAATGTGTTGATTTCATCATTCCACATTTAAATTATATATATATTTTTTCTAATTATAATTCTGCATCTCCATGTCACATTAAACAAATTCCTGTTTATACCACTGTCATCAAACTTATTTGATCACCTACATGATTCTATTTTCTTTTTAAATTAAAATTTTCTTTTGTTGTTGAAAGTAATTCTTACACTTTGTTATTTTTTAAATCCTTTATATTAACTTTTGTTTGTGGGTGGCTGACTGACTCACTGGCTGGATGGCAAAATCTTCGCACGGCTAATTGGCCCACCTCCTGTCAAGCAGAGCCATTGAGCTGAAACTTGGCACATAGATTCGTTGCCGATGGCAGCACATTTTTTCAAATTATCTGCCCCACCCTCCAACCCCGACTCCCCCCCCCCCCCCAAATCACTTTTTCCTGCTTTCCAAGGGAAAGATGAAAAAAAATTCCTGATAACTGCTCTGAATGAGATTCTTTTCAAAACAAAAAATATCGCAAGAGTGTCTGGCGCACAATATTTTCTTTTGTTTCCTGAAATAGTTGGTAAAATGCATATGCCTGTAAAAGCGGATGGGTCATTAGAATATTAATAGAGTTTAGGGGCGTTTAGAATTCGTGGGCTTGCGAGGCCATGGGGGATGAGGGGGGGGGGGAGCTCAATATTACATTTTATAAAGCATTTAAAGGAAAAGCTTTGTTTTTAGAGGTTGTTTCACTTACTCATGAACCACATCCGGGAATTTTAAATTTGACACAAAGAATATTAATAGAGTTTAGGGGCGTTTAGAATTCGTGGGCTTGCGAGGCCATGGGGGATGAGGGGGGGTGGGGGAGCTCAATATTACATTTTATAAAGCATTTAAAGGAAAAGCTTTGTTTTTAGAGGTTGTTTCACTTACTCATGAACCACATCCGGGAAATTTAAATTTGACACATGACTTTGTTAAAAAAAAAAACAAAGGTAATTTAGCTCTCTTAATATTTTATTTTAATTGACTTAGATTTATACTAAGTCTAAAAATTCCTAAAAGCAGGGGTGACCATAACATTTTATATGTACCCTCAAAGGCCTCCAGTGGTGCAAGTTATGATTGCCCCTGATAGTGTGCTTTTCAGAAAGTCAAATATATTGATGAAAAAATTGTTTTTTTAATTATACACCAACATTTGAAACAGAACCTATGCTTTAAAGAATTTATTTTTAAAAATATTTACTTGTTTGACCCAGATACAAATCTCCCCAGAAACACCAGTTACACTATGAGTATAGTCTAACATTTTAACATTTATTTTAATGTTATGATTATTCAGTTGAGAGTCATCAATACTATTTTAACTTTTTTTTTTTAAAGACCTGTTAAAAATAAAAACAAACACACACACAAAACACTATAAATATAATTTTTTAACAATTTTTTTTATTTATTATTTTTTTTTTAAATTTCACTGGTCCACTATTATTATAATTCCTTTTTTAACAGTTGATTTAGTGGTACACAAACTGTTATTTTCACCCAAAGTAACGTTTCGTTCCCCATGTCGAAAGCTTTTGTTCATTTTAAAATCTATGCAGTTGTTCGCTAAGAGTTACATTAATTCTTTGGAGTGCCCCTAACAACAGAGCTATCGTTTTCAAGGGAGGTAACAAATGTATATATTAAAGTCGTTGATTGAAAGAGTATTCTCCTCTGCACCAACATCTCCCCCCCCCCCCCCGTCACATATTAATTTTAAGTATACAAGTATACTGCGAAATGGGAATTTATTTTTTAACTTAAAATTGTTAGGATACAAAAACTAACAAAAAATGTACTTAATATGAAATATCACAAACAAATGTAATAGGAAAAATGCAACAAAGTCTAATGAGCATTTTCTCAAATCTTGGAATCAATCTGGACACAGGCATTGTATTTTCTTCTTCACAATGAATTAAAAAATGGACATTCACTTATGAACCTGTTCATTTTTGTAATATTTTCCGGGACCCCTGTGTAAGGAAGCTGCAGCTCCCCGGGGCGCACACTTTGGGAACCACTGTCCTAGTCTGCATGCCAGTGATAAACGGTAGGCGTGTGGGGTTGGGACTCGGATGTGACCTGGCTTTACTTGTCTGTGTGGGGGAACTCACTAAAATTTTAGACTAAATCAAAGTAGATATTCTAAAACATTTTTTCAGTGCACAGTTGGTGTCTTTGATTAGACAACCGGAGGATATTCTGTCTATCCCTTCCTCTGAGGCTAACAAATACTTATTTCAGATCCGCCATTGAATTTTGAGTCTTAGCCACCCCCCCCCCATACACACACACACGCAAGTATAAACCTTCTAATGTGTTACGGCTAGCTAGCTGAGCTCATTCTGTTAATTAAAGCATCACAGCCACTTGGAGTCTTCCCCCAATCAATAAATCATCACAGCCACTCGAAGTCTTCACCCAGTCAATAAATCATCACAGCCACTCGAAGTATTCACCCAATCAATAAATCACCAGAGCCACTCCAAGTATTCACCCAGTCAATAAATCATCACAGCCACTCGAAGTATTCACCCAGTCAATAAATCATCACAGCCACTCCAAGTCTTCACCCAGTCAATAAATCATCACAGCCACTCGAAGTATTCACCCAGTCAATAAATCATCACAGCCACTCGAAGTATTCACCCAGTCAATAAATCATCACAGCCACTCGAAGTATTCACCCAGTCAATAAATCATCACAGCCACTCGAAGTATTCACCCAGTCAATAAATCATCACAGCCACTCGAAGTATTCACCTAGTCAATAAATCATCACAGCCACTCGAAGTATTCACCCAATCAATAAATCATCACAGCCACGCGAAGTCTTCACCCAGTCAATAAATCATCACAGCCACTTGAAGTCTTCACCCAGTCAATAAATCATCACAGCCACTCGAAGTCTTCACCCAGTCAATAAATCATCACAGCCACGCGAAGTCTTCACCCAGTCAATAAATCACCAGAGCCACTTGAAGTCTTCACCCAGTCAATAAATCACCAGAGCCACTTGAAGTCTTCACCCAGTCAATAAATCACCAGAGCCACTCGAAGTATTCACCCAGTCAATAAATCATCACAGCCACTCGAAGTCTTCACCCAGTCAATAAATCATCACAGCCACTCGGAAGTATTCACCAAATCAATAAATCATCACAGCCACTTGAAGTCTTCACCCAGTCAATAAATCATCACAGCCACGCGAAGTCTCCACCCAGTCAATAAATCATCACAGCCACTCGAAGTCTTCACCCAGTTAATAAATCATCACAGCCACTCGGAAGTATTCACCCAATCAATAAATCATCACAGCCACTTGAAGTCTTCACCCAGTCAATAAATCATCACAGCCACGCGAAGTCTTCACCCAGTCAATAAATCATCACAGCCACTTGAAGTCTTCACCCAGTCAATAAATCATCACAGCCACTCCAAGTATTCACCCAGTCAATAAATCATCACAGCCACTTGAAGTCTTCACCCAGTCAATAAATCACCAGAGCCACTCGAAGTCTTCACCCAGTCAATAAATCATCACAGCCACTCCAAGTCTTCACCCAGTCAATAAATCATCACAGCCACTCCAAGTCTTCACCCAGTCAATAAATCATCACAGCCACTCGAAGTCTTCACCCAATCAATAAATCATCACAGCCACTCGAAGTCTTCACCCAATCAATAAATCATCACAGCCACTCGAAGTCTTCACCCAATCAATAAATCATCACAGCCACTTGAAGTCTTCACCCAGTCAATAAATCACCAGAGCCACTCGAAGTCTTCACCCAGTCAATAAATCATCACAGCCACTTGAAGTCTTCACCCAGTCAATAAATCATCACAGCCACTTGAAGTCTTCACCCAGTCAATAAATCATCACAGCCACTTGAAGTCTTCTTCCAAGTACAAGAACAATCGCTTGTTGAACGGCGCGTAAAAACTCCTCAGTTTCCCCAGCAGGTCTGCGTGTCTCGGCCCAAGGATTTCGCTGGCGTTTCTCGAGGGGCCCCTGACGCACAGTCTTTTCCAAAACGTGATATTGTAACAGAACCTGTTCTCGCCTCGGTCGAACGTTAAATCTTGGATTTCGGCGTAGCGCGAGACGCCCAGGAAGTCGTGGAGCCTCGACGTTTCGAAACCGGGGTTGTCGTAGAATCGCTGTCGGTCCACGACGAGGATTTGTCTTCTCGGAAACACCTGGAACAGTTCGATGAAGTGCTGAAAGTAATCCCCGATCTGGGAGAGCAGCTCCGTGTTCAGGAAGTGCTTGCCGTCGATCTTCGGGAAAACCCTGGCCGCGAGCGACTCGGCCAGTTTGTGATCTAGCAGTTGGGTCAGGGCGTGGCCGCGGTGACGCAGGTAGTCCGTGTGGTTCTCCACGAGGCGGGAAATCGGGTCGCATGTGAAGACGAGCAGCTTGAGTGTCTCGTTGAACGACCTCATCCGCTTCAGCGCCGTCTTGTTGAGCACGGCGGAGAAGCTGACGTCGACGGTCACGTGATGATCCAGCGATGGCGGCATCTGCGCGATGTACCACCTCAGGGGCTTGTCGTCTGTGAAATAAAAATCAATGTTAGTCGTCACTTGGAGGAATGTATTACATTTCTGTTTCAAATTATTATTTTTTTGGGCGAGTTTGGAATGTAAGGTTTGGTTCACATGTCGGCCAAAGTGCACTGATTTCCTTTTTTTGTTTCTCCCTTCAATATTTTAATTTTAAGAAAGGGGAAAGCGAATTGGAGGGTAATAGGGAATAATTTTAAAATTGATCCGCCACTCTTCAGCCAGCTTATAATAATAATAATAAAGTTCATTTCAAAAACACGCTTCATCCCCAAAGGCTCGAAGCGTGGTACAAAGTTAACAAAAAACAAATCTATAATTTACCACATTTAAAACAAATGCAACACTACAAAAACTAATGACAAGCATACAATATCAAAGTCTTTCTAGCCATTTCAACCGTAAGCAACACAGCCATTATCCATTAACTGGAAAATAAGGTAGACAATCATCCCAGAAGGTGTTTGCGAAATAGATGTGTCTTTATATCCGCAATCTATAAGAACGTTACATCGTGAATTTAGACCGTAGCTGAAGTAAAACTTTCTTTGATTTCACGTTTCGCGCAGCCCTTATGACAGTACAGGAAGTGGTCATTATACGGCGGGGGTTCCGTTGTACAACGGCTGCGCAACTCGATTTGAAATCCGCCGCCATCTGCATGTGTGTAAGTGTGTAGTAAAATACATTATATGTGCATGTGCATACATCAAGTTTAAGATATTAATACACGTTCAAGATTTCCACTACGCCATCACTCCGTTATCTCGGATCTTCATGAGGTGCTACGCGCCATTTAGACTTAATTTGACCTTAGTTTAATCAATACATTAACATTATATGATGGTTTGATTTGATCTGTCCAGACCTTCAAGCAGGCTCGCCATCACTGTTACAAGAAATAACTTTATTCAGCCAGTGGGGGCAGGTTGTTTTTTTTTCTTCTTTCTTTTCAAATGTTCTCAACTAAAATACTGTGCTCTGTCGTGCACAATGGTGGACACAGTCGTTCGGTTCAAGCCAAGTCCACGCGCGATGACCGCTGGTCTCATCTCTCCTCACTTTCATTGTGTCTAAATTATTTTCCAATTTATGCTCCGACGTGACACTTTCCAACACTAGGCTACGTAATCACGTGATTAAAGTCACGTGGGATGTGTCGTTATGCGCTACTCCGCGACTACTAGCCTCACGGAGGGTTCCATGACGTAATAGTACCTACTCGTGACGTGCCGAAAAAACAAAAAGAAAAACAACTAGTGTACATTAATTTTTATTTTTTATGCGCGGGTAACGATTGCGCTGAAATCGAAACCGCCGTTAAATGAAGACCTCCCGTAATGCACCGCGATATCCAACGTCATGGCCAGAGTGCCGCGATATCCCATTTCATGGCTAGAGTGCCGCGATATCCCACGTCATGGCTAGAGTGCCGCGATATCCCACTTCATGACTAGAGCGCCGCGATATCCCGCTTCGTGGCTAGAGTGCCGCGATATCCCACGTCATGGCTAGAGCACCGCGATATCCCACTTCATGACTAGAGCGCCGCGATATCCCGCTTCGTGGCTAGAGTGCCGCGATATCCCGCTTCGTGGCTAGAGTGCCGCGATATCTCACTTTATGGGGTTGATACCGAGACCCATGGGAGTAGTTATCACCTGTGAATCTGTGAAGTACATCGGGCACTTTGGTTAACACAATGTTAATTACCAACCTGAAATGATGATTTTGTCTTTTGTCCAGAATCTCAACAACCCAGTTATGGGGAATTTATTACAACAAAGTTATGGGGAATTTATTACAACCTATTTATGGGGAATTTATTACAACCTAGTTATGGGGAATTTATTACAACCCAGTTATGGGGAATTTATTACAACCTAGTTATGGGGAATTTATTACGACCTAGTTATGGGGAATTTATTACAACCTAGTTATGGGGAATTTATTACAACCTAGTTATGGGGAATTTATTGCCACCTAGTTATTGGGAATTTATTACCACCTAGTTATGGGGAATTTATTGCCACCTAGTTATGGGGAATTTATTACAACCTAGTTATGGGGAATTTATTACAACCTAGTTATGGGGAATTTATTACAACCTAGTTATGGGGAATTTATTGCCACCTAGTTATGGGGAATTTATTGCCACCTAGTTATGGGGAATTTATTGCCACCTATTTATGGGAAATTTAGTACAACCTAGTTATGGGGAATTTATTACCACCTAGTTATGGGGAATTTATTACAACCTAGTTATGAGGAATTTATTACAACCTAGTTATGCGAATTTATTACAACCTAGTTATGGGGAATTTATTACAACCTAGTTATGGGGAATTCATTGCCACCTAGTAATGGGGAATTTATTACAACCTAGTTATGGGGAATTTATTACAACCTAGTTATGGGGAATTTATTACACCCTAATTATGGGAATTTATTACAACCTAGTTATGGGGAATTTATTACAACCTGGTTATGGGGAATTTATTGCCACCTAGTTATGGGGAATTTATTACAACCTAGTTATGAGGAATTTATTGCCACCTAGTTATGGGGAATTTATTAAGATATGATAAATTACTAACTGTAAATTTGCACATTTGTTCAACCTTTTCATGGGAAGCTGGGTGGGGGGGGGGGGGGGGGGGGGGGGCGGGGGGGGGTGGGATCATAGTTCGCAGGCGGAACATCTGTCCCAAGCCTCATACTCAATGGCGCATGATTAGCACAGGGGCGTAGCTAGGGCTAGGGTCACCTGGCGCGGGCAAAAACTGTTGTCGCCCCTTAGCCTTAATGCGGAAAAAACAACAACTCTGCTGTTGGTCGACAATGCCACAACTCCATATAAAGAATTAAGTGCCGCCGGGGGGGGGGGGCTGACCACCCTCTTCACACACCCTTTTTACGCCACTGGATAAGCCTAAATTAGAAGATTCGCCGATTGCATGAAATAAATTTGCAGCGTGCCCAACTCTTTTTTTAACAAACCCATGACGAAGAATTGAACATCTCAAAACAGATTCACTCACTCGTGAAAAATCCTAAGTTCTTCAAGTTGACGGCCAGGTGAGGGTGTGCAGACAGGGCCGACATGATGACGTTACCACCGCAGTGTGAGAACCCGACCACCATGACGCCGGGGCGGTGAGAGTGGGGCTGTGAGTGGACCTTGTCTGCGGCGCTCTTCTCTACCGCCGCGATGTCTTTGGAAAATCCTGAAAATGATCAAAGTTGAAAAGTGTGACTCCAAAAGGCCCAAACTGGCAGGACAATTGACATTCAATCTTATTTAAGGTAGGATTAAGTCCCTTTTTTTTTTTCATTACCTTTTTTTCCCATTTCTCACTGTTTTTTTTTTTTTTTTTTGTTTTTTTTTTTTTTTTTTTTTTTTGTTTTTATTTAAGGTAGGATTAAGTCCCTTTTTTTTTTTCATTACCTTTTTTTCCCATTTCTCACTGTTTTTTTTTTTGTTTTTTGTTTTTTTATTTTTTTGTTGTTTTTGGTTTATGTAGGGGAGGGACTTGCATTAAAAATGTATTCGGGGATCAGCAGGAGCATGGGGTCAAAATTATCTTATAAATTATATTAAAAGTTAAACGTGTTAAAATTTGTATCCTGGGTCCCCCCATTAATTTTCACCAGTACAGCTGTTTGGCTCAGCCCAAGGAAAGAATTACGTGACAAATGACGTCACAGGACAGATTCACGTACGAATAACTCTTACCGTTGTGATATCTAAGGGCAGCGCTTCCCAAACTTAGAAGTTTGTTTATTTTGTTGGGGTTTTTTTGTGGGGGGGGGGGGGGGGGGAAAGAATACAGTTTTTAAAATANGATATCTAAGGGCAGCGCTTCCCAAACTTAGAAGTTTGTTTATTTTGTTGGGGTTTTTTTGTGGGGGGGGGGGGAGGGGCAAGAATACAGATTTTAAAATAACACCACAGACTGGTGCCAGATTTATTCATTATCCTTTGTTTTTTTACTTGTCCACAAATATTCATGTCGCGCGGACCGGCTTCGTAATGCTGGCGGGCCGGTGTCAGTCCGCGGACCATCCTTTGGGGTACGCTGATCCAGAGAGAGTAAACACAAAGCAAACAATTAAATACAAATCCGTGCTGTCATTTATTTTAAGACTAACTCACATTTCAATGTCATGGACTTCACAGGGGATTTAGGCGACAGTTAGCTGGCTGTATGAGAGATGTTAGAGAGCGTCAGCGTACTTTCTTCAGAACATACCACGATGCATAATATTCAAAATCAAAAACATACCCCCACCCTAAAAAAAAAAACCCTTTCACCCCCCCCCCCCCCCCCCCCCCCGCAGTGCGTATACATAATAAATAGATGGATCCATTTCGTACTGTTTCAGAAGTACGAATTGAGTGACTCTTTACACTTTAAGATCGTTATTTCCTGGTATTTCGCACCGTAAATTGCCGTATGCGCCTGTACACTTCGGCAAATTGGGAAGGGGGGGGGGAGGGGTGGTTTAAGCCACATTTGGACAAAAAGTGTATTTTGAGCGGACGTCCCCTTAGCATTTGTACAGCATGTAATTGTTGTCCCTTTATCATGTCCTACTTTTGTTCCTTTTATCATGTCCTACTGTTGTCCTTTTATCAAATCTCACAGTGGTCCGAAATACCACCTGCGGGTCATCATGTCATTGTGTCATCGTGTCATTGTGTCATCGTGTCATTGGGTCATCGTGTCATCGTGTCATGTTATGATCATGGCATTATGTCATCATGTCATTGTGTCATTGTGTCATCGAGTCATTGTGTCATCGTGTCATGATATGATCATGGCATTGTGTCATCATGTCGTTGTATCATCGTATCACTATGGGCCATCTACGGGAAGCCCCAAACACGGTGTTAACAAATATTAATCAATGTGCAGGTTGTAAAATTAACGCAATAGACAGCACACGGTGTGTGTAGATAAAAATGAAAGTACTTATTACGGCGCTACGAAATGCAGAATATGCGTCATCGACCATTAATATCGACCCTTGTGATGTGTGTGTTACAGAAGGTAGGGAAAAACAAAATGATAACTGAAGGGATTCATGGAGCAAGATGGTTGGGGAAGGGGGGGGGGTCGATATCTCTTAATTTTTGCTTGCTTGAGATTTTATTGCTCCATGCATTTCTCAATACGAAACAGATAAGATGGACTTTTCTTGTTGTTGTTGGTGTTGTTGTATTACAACACCAGATAAGTCGGTCTAGACCTGGGATGTCATTATTAAGTCTCAGAAATAATTGACTTAACCAGTGGCGTAAGGACACGGGAGTGCGGAGTGGGGGGGGGCGGTGCGTCCCGGGCGGAATTTTTGTGTGTGGCCATTTATTGAGTGTGGGGCGACAAATGAAGCCAACCACAGGGGTGTTTTTAATGGAATGGGGCGTCATAAAGCGTGGCCCGCCCCACTGGTACCACCTTAGCTACGCCACTGGAATTAACTAAACGATGCTATTGATACAATATGGAAGTTGTTAGCTGTAACACAGGGGTTCCTAATCTGTCTCCCATGGACCCCGTAAAAAATGACCGATGGTCCGTTGATCTTGCATTTCCTGCATAATTTAATTTAATGCACTGAACAACTTTATTCTAAGAAGGGATCCATGTTACTTTATTCTGACTGGAGTACGGATCAATGTCACTTTATCTGACTGGAGTACGGATCCATGTCACTTTATTCTGACTGGAGTACGGATCCATGTCACTTTATTCTGACTGGAGTACGGATCCATGTCACTTTATCTGACTGGAGTACGGATCCATGTCACTTTATTCTGACTGGAGTACGGATCCATGTCACTTTATTCTGACTGGAGTACGGATCCATGTCACTTTATTCTGACTGGAGTACGGATCCATGTCACTTTATCTGACTGGAGTACGGATCCATGTCACTTTATTCTGACTGGAGTACGGATCCATGTCACTTTATTCTGACTGGAGTACGGATCCATGTCACTTTATTCTGACTGGAGTACGGATCCATGTCACTTTATCTGACTGGAGTACGGAACCATGTCACTTTATTCTGACTGGAGTACGGATCCATGTCACTTTATTCTGACTGGAGTACGGATCCATGTCACTTTATCTGACTGGAGTACGGATCTATGTCACTTTATTCTGACTGGAGTACGGATCCATGTCACTTTATCTGACTGGAGTACGGATCCATGTTACTTTATTCTGACTGGAGTATGGATCCATGTCACTTTATCTGACTGGAGTACGGATCCATGTCACTTTATCTGACTGGAGTACGGATCCATGTCACTTTATTCTGACTGGAGTACGGATCCATGTCACTTTATCTGACTGGAGTACGGATCCATGTCACTTTATTCTGACTGGAGTACGGATCCATGTCACTTTATTCTGACTGGAGTACGGATCCATGTCACTTTATTCTGACTGGAGTACGGATCCATGTCACTTTATCTGACTGGAGTACGGATCCATGTCACTTTATTCTGACTGGAGTACGGATCCATGTCACTTTATCTGACTGGAGTACGGATCCATGTCACTTTATTCTGACTGGAGTACGGATCCATGTCACTTTATCTGACTGGAGTACGGATCCATGTCACTTTATTCTGACTGGAGTACGGATCCATGTCACTTTATCTGACTGGAGTACGGATCCATGTCACTTTATCTGACTGGAGTATGGATCTATGTCACTTTATCTGACTGGAGTACGGATCCATGTCACTTTATCTGACTGGAGTACGGTTCCATGTCACTTTATCTGACTGGAGTACGGCTCCATGGAACATGAAGCTAAAAACTCCTGCGCTACCAGGAGTGTGTGTGTGTGTTTGGTTGTAGGGGGGGGGGAGGAGTACAAAAGTTAAATTGATGAAACAAGTTTCAAAGCCGCGACCGATGCATATTTACATAGTGTAGATAAAGGTAGTTAAAATAAAGTAAACGTGACTGATTCTATTTTAAACCCCGTCATGTATTTAGTTTAACAGCCAACCCAAAAAATCCTCCCACAGCAAGAAACCGACATTGGACTTTAAAAATAAATTATGCTCTGTTGTCCCTCCCCCTCCCCCCCACCCTATATTTGAGGGCCCATGATAAATTTATTTGATCATTCTGGCTCCTGGTTTGAACTCAGGCTTCCCTTGGCTTTGGTGGGGATCGAACTCCAGACCAACAGCCATTATGACAAGTTTTGACATGCATGCACATACATCGCGCCGATGTGTACAGAGCACATCAATCCACGCGTACGCATCTTACACCAGCTCACCGGATGTCAGCAGCTGCAGATCTTGTTTTGTCACGACCTTGGAAGGGATCAGCATTCTGGAGGTTTCCAGGAACGTCACCATGACGACGAAGCCGCAGATGGCGGCGAACGCGGTCAGCAGACTTTGGTTGTTGTGCGGTCGCCTGGGTAACAGCAGACGACTGAAACGGAAACATTTTGTGAAGATAATAGAGACATTTCTTTGAAAGACGTGGTGATTGGCAGTGGAACTGATGATTTAACGTCCAATTAAACAAACAGAAGTTTTATTTCGTCATTAAAGAGAGAGAGAAGATCCGCAAATTGAAAAGGGAAAAAAAAGCAAATTATAACATGGCCCAAAAAGTTGTGTATTTAGGTCAGCAATACGCACAATCACACGCACAACCACACGCACAACCACACGCACAACCACACACACAACCACAAACAAACATACACAACCACACACACAACCACACACATACACAACCACTCACACAACCACAAACACACATACACAACCACACACACAACCACAAACACACATACACACATACTCACAACCACATACTCACAACCACATACACACAACCACATACACACAACCACATACACACAACTACACAACCACACGCACAACCAAATACACACAACCCCAAACTCACATACACACAACCACACACACAACCACAACCACACATACACACAACCACGCATACACACAACCACACATACACACAACCACATACACACAACCACACGTACACGCACAACCACAAACACACACTCAAAACCATACTCACAGCCACATACACACATGCAGTGGCTGATGAAGAAAGGAATAAACGATTACACTGGAATCTTTAACTCTTAAGTATTCCGCGTGGGACCTCCGCATTGAACCCTGCTTTTCACAGACGGTGCTCTCTTGTGTACAACTCTAGGCCCCTTCGGTTGGTCCTCCCATGTTCTCAGGTGCCTTTGTTTGACCTTTGCCCGGGAGTTTTTTTCAGGGGGGAAGGGGCAAAACCAAAACTTAGTCGGCTTGTTAAGGTGTTTATTACTGGAGGCACCACAGTACATAGTCATTTAAATATAACCTGCAAATTCAGGGGTGTGTGGGGGGGATGCCATTAGCATTAAAAAAAAGTGTATAGAATTTTTTTAATGAATTTTGTTGATTCCGGGTTCGGAGCTCCTAGCCTTTCAGGGCCTGTTGGTGTTACGGCCCTACGAGGGTATATTTTAAGGCTGGTTATGTTAAAAAAACAAACAAATTCCTCAAAGCCTGTCGAGGATAATAGTCATCACAGCTTTGGTAAAAGTACTCTCTTTGTAGGCATATAATAAAAAAGTATGGTAAAAGTACTCTCTTTGTATAAAAAAAAGTATGGTAAAAGTACTCTCTTTGTAAGTCTATAATAAACAAGTATGGTTAAAGTACTCTCTTTGTAGGCATATAATAAACAAGTATGGTAAAAGTACTCTCTTTGTATAAAAAAGTAGGGTAAAAGTACTCTCTTTGTATAAAAAAGTAGGGTAAAAGTACTCTCTTTGTATAAAAAAGTATGGTAAAAGTACTCTCTTTGTATAAAAAAGTAGGGTAAAAGTACTCTCTTTGTATAAAAAAGTATGGTAAAAGTACTCTCTTTGTATAAAAAAGTATGGTAAAAGTACTCTCTTTGTAGGCCTATATTAAACAAGTATGGTAAAAGTACTCTCTTTGTAGGCCTATAATAAACAAGTATGGTAAAAGTACTCTCTTTGTATAAAAAAGTATGGTAAAAGTACTCTCTTTGTATAAAAAAGTATGGTAAAAGTACTCTCTTTGTATAAAAAAGTAGGGTAAAAGTACTCTCTTTGTAGGCCTATATTAAACAAGTATGGTAAAAGTACTCTCTTTGTAGGCCTATAATAAACAAGTATGGTAAAAGTACTCTCTTTGTATAAACAAGTATGGTAAAAGTACTCTCTTTGTAAAAAAAAGTATGGTTAAAGTACTCTTTTTGTATAAAAAAAGGTTGGTAAAAGTACTCTCTTTGTAGGCCTATAATAAACAAGTATGGTAAAAGTACTCTCTTTGTAGGCCTATAATAAACAAGAATGGTAAAAGTACTCTCTTTGTAGGCCTATAATAAACAAGAATGGTAAAAGTACTCTCTTTGTAGGCCTATAATAAACAAGAATGGTAAAAGTACTCTCTTTGTAGGCCTATAATAAACAAGAATGGTAAAAGTACTCTCTTTGTAGGCCTATAATAAACAAGAATGGTAAAAGTACTCTCTTTGTAGGCCTATAATAAACAAGAATGGTAAAAGTACTCTCTTTGTAGGCCTATAATAAACAAGAATGGTAAAAGTACTCTCTTTGTAGGCCTATAATAAACAAGAATGGTAAAAGTACTCTCTTTGTAGGCCTATAATAAACAAGAATGGTAAAAGCACTCTCTTTGTAGGCCTATAATAAACAAGAATGGTAAAAGTACTCTCTTTGTAGGCCTATAATAAACAAGAATGGTAAAAGCACTCTCTTTGTAGGCCTATAATAAACAAGAATGGTAAAAGTACTACAACTAAAAATTAAGTTTAAACAAACAAACACAATATTATATTGATTTTCTTTTTCGACGGCATTAAACCATGTGTTACGCCGAGAGTCCTTCGCCGCTTCCTCGACTCCAGTTAAACAAGATCAACGCCACAGATCTCGAGATGAAATCATTCGATAGCTGGTGTTCGAACATTTGTTTTTAGTAAAACCCAAAAACAGCTTTATGACACAGGCAGACTAAAAACTCCTCCCCCCCCACACTTACTTTTTATATGCGTATAAATGGCTCCCCGTATATAAAACCAGTTTATATTTCACTTTATCGACTAGGCAAAACATAAAATACGTTTTCAAAAGCTTTAATTTGACATTTATTTGTTGTTGTTGGTTTTGGTGTTTTTTTTCTTGGTTTTTTTTATAATAAAAATATTAAAACTATACTGGGTAACGTTAATTGATATAATCCGTTAAACACGATTCCTTTTTCAAATACCGTATTAGATTCTAATTATATACACATTTGAATTATTTCTTTTGCTGACGTATTTGCGAACACTTAAGGGGCATGTCTATAAAGTACATCACTCGTTTTTTTGACAATTTTCATCACGGCGCCGCCCACCAATTTCCGATCACAATTCATACTTTCTGACTGAACAATTGTTAACAAATTAAAACTTATTAAAATTTAATCTAAAACACTAAAACAGATTGCAATATGTAACTATTAAATTATTTTTAAAAAAGTGACATCTCCTGTCGGAATACATCAATCAAAACACAAAATTCCAACATCACCGCCAGTTTCTCAAGATCTTTAACCCCCTTTCCCCCGTCCTCAGTGTCACACTTTCTCATAACAGCCCCCTCCCACCCCTCATTTTTTTCCAGGAACGTAATATACTATAGTTACAGTATGGTCTTACCGTATTTGTTCACCGGCACGATATCTAGATAGTTCTGTTGACTGAGAAACTCACTAATGAAATTATTCATTTACAGACACTCTTACCAGTGAGCTCATTGAAGTTTATAAAAAAAATCCTCACTAGTGAGCTAATTTCACCTACAATCTTACAAGTGAGCTATTACAGTTTAATGGTGAAGTAGAAAGAAAAAAAAAAAAAAAAGGAAAAGCAACAAGCAAGCCCGCAGCTCCTCTTACTGGTGTGGTGAAGATCTTGTGAAGACAGATCTAGCGAAGCCCTGCCCGTCCCCACAGGCCGCCATCACATCGAGTGATGCGTCAACTACCCATTCATGCTATCACATCTCTTTCTTACAATCTAGTATTTAAATATTTTTTTTTTAAAACCACATTTTTGTTGTGGTTAAACAATGCGTATTAAACTGCAACGGTCCATCAGATTTGTGGTAAACTTATTTTATGAAATCATTGTTTCTTGATTTGTAGAGCTAATCACAGGAGTTAGAGAAGAGTGGCTGGGGGTGGGGGCTTAGCGTGTGTGTATGTGGGGAGGAGGGGGTGCCAGAGGCATGGCTCACCCGGACGCACAGTCTTCAGGAGTGAAATATTAATAGTACGTAAACTTCCCATCTACGATACTAAAGTTACTTAACAAAACATGTATTCAAGCAACACGCTTGACAAGATTCCCAATCAGCCCCCCCTCC